TAGAAATACGGATTTAAACTTCATGACCTTTGCTTCAAAACAGTGTAAAGTTTTTGATCGCATGAATGACTGTAGAGATGACAATTAAAATTTTATTCACGTTAGTTAAATTATCAGCCCCGCTGATTTTCAGAATCATGTGACGCTAAAACAAACACAATGTTCACAAAATATTAATAGTAGGAAAATACAAGACAAGAGCTTTCTAAACATTTATAGATTGTATGGTTTCTTGTAAAATTTAGTCCGATTATAGGTGTTTACATTTTTCATGCAAAAAAACTATCCTGCTACCTTAAATTATACAGTGTGGTCCAGTCACAACTGTTGGTACTGAATTCACTGGGTGCCTACTAGTCAGGATACAATCCCACATTATTAGAAATTGCCTTTATTGAAGATCTAACAAGTATGGTAACCAACAAAATGACTGCCATCATTTTGTCATCAGAAGTCTTAGATGCACCAGTAATGATATTTGACCTCAGATACTATAATAGCTGAATGTAGCAAGTTTCAGTGAAATCAGCTGAGGCACATCTGGGATCAACTAACATATGTTTACATATGTGAAGGAAAAGGCCATAATTACAACAAATAGAGGACACTGGTACAGCCATTGTTATTGTGCTAAACTTGAATATGAATGCTGAGAAATCTATTATTTGAAGCAGCTAAAAATGTAAATAAATAAATATCTTATTTTTTAGATGACACTCCATAGATTTACTGTTCTCACATGTACAGGTTGAGAAGAATGTATTTTCAAAATAAAAGATATGCAAACAATTTTAGTTTTATGTATTCAGCAAATGCATTAGGGGAATCGTTCAGAGTTTCCTTTGTCTTTACACTGTCCTCATTTGTCAGCAAATCTAAAGTAACACAGGATATTAAACATAACCATTAAGTACATGTAGCATTGAATGAAGTACTTTCAACATGTCAACTGTAACTCATTAATATTTCATTTTGAACATTACCAGATTTATGTCAAACATTTAAAATTATTAGTATACAAACATACTTTTAGTGACACTGCTAATACCACCAGTATTTACAGTCACCTACTGGGTAGTGAGAATATTCATCTAACAATCTATCCCAATAGTCAATCTACACCAAGAACTGGCTAAAATTAAAGCTAATCTCATATGTTTGCAACTTAGCTAAACCCAATCGCGTTCTCACATGGAAGAAAACATTGGTTAGCTCAAGCTAAGGATTACCCAAACTTGTTAAGAATATACAAAAATCTTCAGTCTTTTTAACTATGGTTACTAGTACAGTATAACTAGGAAGGTATACATGTTAGTTCTATGGTTATAAAACAATACCAAGGCAAATTCAAAAAGTGACGATTAAAGAATAACAGGAAGTGGTACAGAGTCCCCTCATCAGCTCATTTTTTTCCCCCAAGAAAAATGTCCCTAGATGTGCTCGCATTGATTGTCATTTTGGAAATGTCATACCAAAATGAATAGTTATGAATAGTAAATCTACCAAATGAACATTAAATACAACCGCATTTTTACTGTAATCAGCAAGTGATATTCAACCTACCACACATCTTTTTGTGCTTGTTTTCAAAACCACACAATTATTATTATTTTGGCCTAATGTAATCAAAATTACAATATTAAAATTGCAACGATTTTAGCAGAGAAATATCAAGATTAACGTGAGAATATAAAATTAATAAATAATACACTGATAAGAATCACACCAACATTTGAAGAATACAACAGACACACAATATCAATTTATATATTAATTATTTGTTCATTACTATAACCATACATCATGCCCCCAAGTATGAATAAATGTGGAGCTGCTAATACTAATCTGCTATCAAATTAACAAAGAGAACACAAAATTGGAAACACAATGTACATAAATCAAACTAATACGCAAACATGGTGGATACAATAGAAACAAAAATAGGAAGATATTGACATATGCAAAGGTGTACAAACATAGAGCTTTATATTTATTATTGGGAAACAAGAAAATGCCTACTGATAATGACAATTACCACAACACTAAGGGACAACATCAAAAGTTCAATGTAGGATAAAAAACTTAATTCCTTTAGTTTTTTCCCAACCACCCCCACCCCCCACCACTAAAACTTAATTGTTAAATATTGATCATGGCGTCAGACTACATTCACCATTAAATACAAATTGATAATCGGACACACTAAGAAAGAAGTAAAGACTCACCATAAGCTAACCATAGACTTGTACATCATCCAGGTAGGCTACCAGGTAGGTATTAATTATATGTAAGGTGTAACCCTGTATCAAGTAACCCTGCCTTGGTACATACCTACATTATTTCTCAAACTGTGGTCACCTTCTTAAATGACACACTTTGATATAGTGAGAATGACAGACAACCTAGGGGGTCTCAATAAGGACAGGCTACCTATCAATCTTGAGGTAAACAAACCCACCTGCCTCTTCAAACATTATTTAACTAATTTAGGGCAGGACATTTATGATATTCTATGATTTAATTCAGTAAAAGCAGCAGTGTATCATATTTTCATGGCACGTTATAATTCTGTGGTGTAAAACTGTTTGATACAGATTTGCTAAGTATATTAGTGTAATAGTACAACAAAACAATACAATATGCAATTTGATAACACTATACAATATTTGCTAGTATTTTTACTTTCATGTAAATGCTGTGTTAGAACATATAACAGATGACAGTACAAGGTCAGTACACTTGTACAACAAAAATCAACATACATGTATTAGGCTAACACATAGACCTCTATAGGAGATACAGTCATAACAGGAATACAGTACAATAGGTCATTCATTGAGGGAGTCACAACCATAAAGCCTTGTTCCATAAAAAACAAATGCACAGTGCTCGAGAACTTCATAAAAATATAAAGCACTATTTCCAACTTGATTAAATAATAACAATCTTAAGAAACTCTGTAATTATCCTTAAAGACTATCCCCCTGACCTTGAATCGCCTACTTTATAAACCTCAATAAAATGAAGAGATACTTTAAAGTTTTAGCAACAAAAAAAAGTATCAACACAAAGACCATAAAATTGCTAAAAAGCTTCATCCTTGAGACTTGGGACTTAATTCATGTGGAGGCAAGCAGCAGAGAGGCAAAAACCAACAAACAGTAATCAGACAAGGAGATTGCAAAATGATGACAGTCATCAGGTCAATAAATGAATATTAATAACTAACTAGTTCAAGGTGGACACTATTGTCAAACTTCCTTTGAAGAGTCACAGTCACTAGGCACTGTGCGTTTGAATATCACATACCAGTAAATAAACAATGTGTTTCATACATGTAACATGGGACCCAGGTAAATGGCGAGAAACATTTTGTAATAAAACCTTTACAAGTCCCCATTTTGTTCACCAAATCAGTTAAAGAATCTTTGTTGTAAATAGAGAGCAACATTTTCTCTAGAAATATATAAAGTTATTTGTCTTGTCAATAAAAATATGATATTTATATATGGATGGTTATTTTGAATTAATTCTGATTATTCAAGGAGTGGTGTTTATGCAAGACAATAAGCCATACTGTAGGAAGTGTGATACTGCATTGTTAGTGACTCATACTCACTGCCCCCAACTCTATTACATTATAATAAAGGACTGTTTTACAATGTTTAGTTGTTGTAAACATCAAGGTGACATTACATCCATGTAACAGTGAGGAAATGACGTCTTCACAAAAACCGTTTACTGTACACAACATGGTAAAAGATTTGATAAAAACACAAAGAGGAACTGAAAAGAAAATATCCAGATTCTTCTTCAGAATGTCTCATGGTTATGTTATTTGTGTAATGCAATAGTTTCGTCAGGATCAAAGTTCTTTATAACAATACCGGGTAGTTGTTGTTGAGCATGTTGTAACAGGGCTGTCATTATAATACATATAATCAATCATAGAAGTGAAGGCATGTCTAGCCTTAAATTAAGAAGTGAATTACAGTCTTACCTTGAGTGAGTTGCCAAACTTTTTGAATTCAGGAGGAAAGTAGCGTTGATCGGGAACAACTGAAATGAATCAAACAAACAATGTGAGACTTGTGGACTGCCGACTGCGTATGAGTCAATCTATTGTTACTTATTTCTCAGCAACACAGGAATTTTAGATTCTAACTATGACAATGTTCAGATGTGTACATGTATGTTATCTTAAACTGTCGCTTAAGATATTGCAGGATGTCAGTTTTGGTTCAGTATTTTTTACCATACACCATACAAGAAAACTATTAATATTTCATGTTCTTATTGCAAATTGTTATATGTATATGATATGAATAAGATCCAATGGAGGTATAAGCTCAATTTTTTTTTTTAATTTGTAATTCCCATATTTTTTTTTATTTTTATTTTAGGTTTTACAAGCAGTTTTTTTTTTTTATATCATATAGCAAGAAATAAAACAAACAAAAAATAGTCACAATAAACAAAAAACAAGCAGCCCATCGGCTGAGATAGCTCCGCTGTTAGAAATGCACATTTCAATTAAAGAACTGAAGACATCATCAGAAAATGAACAATATGTATAGTATCAAAGCAATCGGACTTACAGTTTTTAACAAGAAGTCGAAAATATCACTTTCTACCAAAAATGACTAAAATATTCACCAAAATTAGAGAATTGAAGATATCATCACGAAATGAACAAATCTGAGAAAGGTCTACATGTAGTATCTATATATGTAATATCAAAGCAATTGAACTTTTGGTTTTTAACAAGAAGTCGAAAATATCACTTTTTACCAAATATGACAAAAATATTCACCAAAATTATAGAACCCAAGATATCATCACGAAATGAACAAATCTGAGAAAGGTCTACATGTAGTATCTAAATATGTAATATCAAAGCAATTGAACTATTGGTTTTAACAAGAAGTCGAAAATATCACTTTTTACCAAAAATTACAAAAATATTCACGAAAATTAGA